TGTTTACCCACCTTCACTGATGGCTGCCAAGCCCCCCACCCCCACCCCGCCACCCCGGCCAGCCAGCTCTGACCCGGGAAAACACCTAACTCATGCATCTTTCCTTTGGGACAATTTTGTTGAAACGTTTTGAAGGACACAAAGAAGACCGTTTCCCGTGTGATCTTCTACTCCTTTCACTACCGCCTGGAATGGAAAAAGGATGGCTCAGTGTGGCACCAGCCACCTGTGTGTTCTTGGGCCATGTACATGGAAGTGTGGGCCGGTGTGTGTGTTCCTCTGTGGACAAGGAAATTGGGCATCAAGGCAAGTGACCAGCTGAGTAGCAGGGGAGGGATAGGCCCCCCCAGGCCCCTCACACGCACATCTCTTCTGCAAGCACACCTACTCTGTGGCCAAGGGCAGAGCCCGCATGGTAGCAAGTGGGCATCTGGGCAATGCCTAGAGGCAGGTAAGGACCTGCTGGAAGAGGTACTGGTGGAGCTCTAGGTAGGCGGGCAGGCACTGGGGCTCCAGCCCAGCACTGCCACTCACTGGCACAATCCAGGGGGACAGAGGGCCAGGACCAGTTAATGATGCCTGCCAGCCACTCGCCGTTGGTTCCGTAGAGGAGCTCCAACTCCTGCTGCACCTGGGACAGTCTGGGACTCAGAGTTCCTTCTGGGAGGCAGTGCGGCTCACCCAGTTTTAAGGGGAGCCCTCTGGGACCCTCCAGGACTACCCTTGAACACAGAACAGTAATTGCAGCTCCCACTGAGAGGGCTGCCGAACGCTTCACAGGGACTAGTTTATTTAATCCTCCAATTAAGAATAGGCCCATTTCGCAGAGGAGAACAGGGAGCCCTGAGTGTGAGGCAGCCTCCCTGGAGCTGGGCTCTGCTTACATGGTCCTCTGCTGCTTTCTAATGCGGCTTTGGGAAAGCTTTGACTTTTCTGTCTCGAATCACGTGGTGTTTGTGTTCAAATGAAACAGTAACCAAAAGAGATGGAGAAATCATGTCCCAGAGCCTTTGATAACGGGCCTTTCTCCTGACCTGTCTGGGGGCCCGCCCCACCCCTGTTGCACAGACCTTACACCACTAGCTTTGCAGTCCCAGGGAGCCCGGGATGTCGCAGCCCCGCAAAGGCCACGTTGTCCACAGGCTGACCCATGGCAGCTCCAAGTGTGATTGCAGCTTTTCAGAAATCTGCTTGAGTTGACCCGACTGACCAGGCTCCAGGTTTGTGGAAAAGAAGGATCTCACACTCCATCTCAGGCTGGAAGCTGGTTAAAAGGCACAGGTCCTAAGTCAATGCTAAAGCAACTAAAGGATTCCTGTTGATGAAAGGGGGTCCATTCTTTCCTTTATGTGTACCGTCCTTATTCACAAAGTGAGTTACCGTCAGCATGAGTTCCTGAGTCGAAGAAGACATGGGCCCTGCTGGCTCTGAGCACCCCTGACATTAACATAATCAAGACAGTGGACCAGGCACCAACCGCGTGCACCCCTGAGCCCCAGGGCCCCCTGCCTCTATTGCTGACCTGGGTGCAGAGAACTTCCAGCCCCAAAGCATTGGTGTCCTTCAGAACGCCCCCTTCCCCGGGGCCTGGAACCATCGCGCAGTGCCGGTTAGAGTCAGAGCACAGACTCCTCCACTCCAGTGGCACACAGCGGGGCCCGACAGGGTGCAAGGTCCACCACCTTCCCTAATTTGTGGGTACACGGCAGGAGGCCAGGACCTGACTCTCCTTCCCAGCCTCCTGGGCGGGTCCCTGCCCATCCCCCCTGCTCCCAACCCCTTCTCAGTCCCATCCAGTCCCTTAGGCATGGCAGACCAGCTACTGCCGCCTCCTCCAGCATCTCCAGATGAACTTGACCTTTACCCCAAATGTCGTTGTGCCCACTAACATCCACTCCACCCACCCAGGGGCTCAGGCAAGGTCTGGGGCCATCCTTCCCTCCTCAAATTCAACCCCACATTCTGTCAGAAAAACCTGCCACACTGCCATCCACGTCCACAGAAGCCCACTGCTGCCCACCCCTGCTGCCCACCCCTGCTGCCCTTCCACTTCATCCGCTGTGTGTCCCCGTTCGGGATGCATTTTCATGCCAGACTTCCACCTGGTTATTTTCCATGATGTCCAGACCTGGCCTCGCTGCCTCCTGCCTTCTCTCATCTCTCGTGCCCACTGGCCGTGCTTGTTCTCTGATTGCATCATGTCACGTCCACTCTGATGCCTCGCGGGGTCCAGGGCATTCTTCTTCTCAAGACCTCCGTTATGACCTGTGAGCTCACATCCCTGGGAGAGCTGGCCACTCTGTCTGCCATGCCTGGGGCAGCCCGCCCAGTCAGGAAGCCACCGCAGCCAAGGCCCGCTCGCCTTCATCTCGGAGCCCCTGAGAGCCTTGTGAGGAGTCAGTCTCCCCAGCCTGGGAACCACCAGCATTGCTGGTTCCAGGGACGACGGCCAAGGCTGGTCAGCCTGCCTCTGTGGTCCGAAGCCCCTCTGCCCCTGTGTCCCCCCGCCAAGGCTGCCAGCCCCGAGGTCTAGTCCCGGTCAGCAGATCCGGCCACATCCATGCTTCCTTCCTGTCTATGCTGCTGTCGCAAAAACAGTTGGATGTTTACTACCTGGCCTAGGCTTTTGTCACTGATTCTGCAGCAAGGACAGTCCCCAGGCACAGCCAGGGTGAGGGAGAGCTACACAACATCTCTCTAACTTCCCGTCTCACAGCCATCCAGCAGCCACCCAGCAGCCCCCCGCCCCAGCTGCCTCTGCCCCCCGGGGCATCAAACACCTAGTCTGGGGCGGCTCCCCTCCCGCAGCGCCTCCTGGGAGCCAGGGACGTTCATTTCACTCTTTAGTTCCTCCAGGTTTTGTCTGGTGAAAGGAGCCAGCACCTCACACTAACACATCATCTGGGCAAACACCGAATCCGAGTGCCTCGGAAAGGGACCCTGCAGAAGCTGGGACGGCGCTGTGCCAGGCACCGCTCCGCCCAGGGCTACAAACCAGGGCACTTCAAGCAGCAAACCCCCGTTCTCTCGCCGTGCTGGGGCCCCAGGTCCAAAGCCTCCCTCCAGATGCTCCAGGAGAAAATCTGTGCCTGCATCTTCCAGCTCCAGGCAGGAGAGGCTCCTGCCTTCCTGGGCTCGTGGCCACGCAGCCCAGCCTCTGCCTCCCCGTCACACGGGCTCCTCCTCTGCCCGCCTCACATCCCTGCCACCTTTCTCCTCTGCGGACACTTGTCCTTGAATTCAGGACCCTCTGGAAGACCCAACAAATCCATCTTGAGCTCCTTACCCCAATTACGTGTGCAGAGACCCTTTTCCCGAGTAAGGTCACATTCCCAGTTCTGGGACTTAGGACACGGATATAGGTTTGGGGAGACACCATTTACCCCACTTTAGTAAATTAAGAAATCTGTTATGATTTGCTTACAGATATCGATCAGTGGAGCCCCACCCAGAGACTGTAAGGGAGGGTGGGGGGCCCAAGGACAGCACCCTGCTCTTGGAGGCCAGCAGCCCCTCCCCTCACCTCCGCCAGAGGGTGTGGGAAGAGCTCCCTGCCTCCAGGCTCTGATCAGACCCGCTGGGGGTGGGAGGACAATCCCGAAGCACACAGAGGCGAGTGCAGCCAAAATGCCCTCGGCCAGGCCTGCAGCCCTGGGCTCCTCAGGTCCAATGTCCCCCGCTGTCACAGTGCCCTCTGTAACCTCTAACAGCTGCTGCCGGAGACCGCAACTGGGGAAGGGAGGCGGCCTTTCCCTTCCAGGGAGGCTGAGGTCTGCTTGCACACTGAGCCGGGGGCTGGAGCCCTGCCTCAGTGCCTGGGTGCCCCCTACCCATGTGCCTGCCACAGCCCCTTGGTGGCCCCAAAGTGGCAGGCCAGCAACACCACACTGACAAAGCTACTTTGCTGGAAGGGGAGGGCTCACTATCCCCCTACACACTCATGCACACATGCACATACACACACCCCACAGCGGTGCCAGGAACCTGCCTCCAGCACCTGCAGTGCCACATCTCGGTTGCCCTAGGCAGCCCAGGGACTGTGCACACCTGTGGGGACGGCCCAGCGGGCCCACCTCTAAGGCAGGACTGCCGTTCCTGATCCACCGCAGGCACCACACCCTCCTCACAAGAGCCGCCAGGAGCTTTTGGCCACGCTGCCCCTGAGCTGCCCCCGAGAATTCTGATGGCATCTGTCCCCAGCGTCCCTACCCCACAGCCCAGGGGCCAGCCCTGCACCTCCGCCATCCCCATGCTCCTTGCACCACCCTGCGCCCCCCAGGCACAGATCGCCCAGGGAGCCCACCAGCCATGGAACCTTCATCTCTGGGAAAGACGGCCATGGGGTGAGAGAGAAGTGGCGTGACCGACCCCCTGACAGGTAAGGGGCCTCCCTGAAGCCTTCCCTGACGTCTGATGGAGCCACAGCAAGGGGCACATTGCCCCCCTGTATCCAAGGGGAGCACCCAGTTGCTCTCCCCCAGAGACAGCCTCCTGATTACCCGCAACCGCGTGGGCGTGACCTTAGAGCGAGTTAGGGTGTTTGGTCCAAGTTAAATGATAGAATGTTATGCAGTTATTTAAAATGGCACAAATACACAGATTTTTTTGAACAACTGGAGGACACGATTGTTAGATGTAAACAATGAGATTCAAAGCATGTAAGCCTGATAAATCCCCAGAAAATACATGAGGAAGCCCCAGCAATGAAATACACCACAGGTGACAGGTGATTGGCCTCTGATCCTGGGCACTTTCCTTTCCCATTTTTGTCTATGTTCAGTTATTTCCAAATGTATATACATTGCTTTTATTATAAAATTAATGTGTTTAGCACTGATTTTACAGTAAAAAAATAACATTCATTTTTATGATAAACTTCCTTTTATTTTAATTGTAATTGATAATTAATTATAAAAGCACTGCAAAAACCTAGAAAAAATATTTGTTAAGTTACAGAAACAGGATGAAATGGTTTGCAGATAGTGGATTCAACAATGAAAAAAGCCCCACGGTGACAGACAGGACTGAGGGTGGGGAAGAGATGAGCCGCCGTGCGGGGCTGGAGGCTGGTCCTTGGCCCGGTCCGCTGGAGGCAGGCGGAGGGGAGACCCTCAGGGCGGCCTGTCCGTGTCGGGCACCCTGCCCAAAGGCCAGCTGGAGAAGGGAGGCTAATGTGTTTTAAAGCCACTTGGCCCAAATGAAATTATACAACCCAGGAAGGGACAAATCATGTCACTGGTGAGAGTCTTTTAAAAGAACAAGTCTCTCCTGATGCCACCCCAGGAGGGAGGCGGATGTGGTGAGAGCGGGGGTGTTAGGGGCTATAAGAGGGGCGAGCTGGGCCTTCCTGGTCACCGCTCAGACCACCCCGGCACCCGTGCCATCCTCCTCGGCACAGTGGTGAGTAGCTCCTGCCCTGGGGGGTGCGGGCTCTCTCCCCTCTGGGCAAGGGCCGGGTCCTGCTCACACCAGGTCCTGGCCATGCTGGGCAGCTCTGCCTGCAGCCGCATGTCACCACGGGGGACAGGCAGGCCTGCGTATCTGAGGGCCACCCGGCCTGCCCTGAGCCCTCCATGCTCAGCCGCTGTCTATGGTGGGGACAAAACGAGAAGGTGTCCCATGCAACTCGGCTGGGAACGCAGACCAGGGGTCCCGCTGGGCTGGCAGCAATCGTCGCCAGCGCTCCAACTCTCAGGGGGGCAGGGAGCTCCAGGGGGACCAGGGTCCAGGTGCTGCTGACGTCCTCCCAAGACGATTTCCCTGGCATGGGGCCTCACCCTTTAGACATGTCTCTTTGTGACCCTGTTTCAGAGTGGCACCTTCATTTCCTCTAAGCTGGAGGGCACCACCCTCCCCGTGTGTGACACCAGGTCTCTGAAAAGGAGGGAAGTGGGCCTGTTAAGTCACTTGGGCAAAGAGCACTTCCTGGGGGGCTCAGGGACGGGCCGGCAAGCCGCTGTGGGTAGTGAGTCCCCTGAGCATGTGGGGCTCTCGGGCGTCTTCCGATGGCTCCCCAGGAGCGCCACAGGGGGCCGGCCCTGAGGGAGGGCTCCCCAGGCCTTCCAGAAGGGTGCTGCTCGGGAGCCCAGGGTGGGGGCGCCCTTCTCCCCCTGTGCCCTCTCCTCCCCGGTCTACAGGGCTGTCCGGCCGCAGGTTGGATCTGGGGTCACGGGAGGGTGAGTGTTCTCGGTAAGGACAGAGGGTGCTGACCAGTCTATGACGGCCAGCTTCCCTGGCGTCCTCCAGTGAGCATGGGGGCAGGATGGAATAGGTGGCCCTGGATGGCCAGGAGGTCCGGGTCCAGGGCTGGCAAGCACCCTGCCCCTGAGCCCCAGCCCATGAGCCTGGTACCCCCCCGGCCATGTCACGGTTGGGCGAGCAGCCCTGGCCTTCATACGCGCGCACATCCTAGTACACCTGCACCGCTGCTCCGCCCTCCTGCCCCAGGCTGCGCCATCCCGGGTGGCATCCACCTCCAGCTGGGCCTCAGCGAGGAGCAGGGATGAAGGTGTTTCCGGCCTGGTTTGTGTGCCTGCTGCTGCTGGGCCTGGCCCTGCACGGGGCTGCAAGCCGAGCCCCCCAGCTCTCCATGGAGACCCGCAGTGAGTATATGGTCCCGGGCACCAGCTTCCCCCTCACCCCCTCCTTCCCTCTCACCACCTACCCAGGGGCACAGTCCTTGCTAAGCACCCCAGTTTGGGGGGCTTGGTCTGCTGTTTGCCAGGCCTCTCCCCAGAGTGGCCCTATTTCTGCTCCCTGATGCCCCATCCCTGCCTGGCACATGGTTGAAGGGTGGTCTGGGGCCAAGCCAGCCTTTCCCACCCCTGGCACACCTGGGGGATGGGCAGGAAGGGGGCATTGGTTAATTTGAACTCCCCATTTCCCGAAGCCACCCTGCCACCCAGAAGTGGCCTCACCAGGCTCCAGATGCCCCTCCTTTGCAGGTGGGACCTAGCATGGCCTGGGCAAGTCGGCTGCTGTGAACGGAGGCCCTGGGGATGCCGAGCGCGTGCACCAGGCCCTGCCGCCTGCAGGTGCGCACGGCCACCCACGGGTCGCATCTGCAGGCACTGCCCCGGCTCTTTCCGTTCCAGCCCCTGACATTGACCCTGCCTGGTACGCGGGCCGTGGGATCAGGCCTGTGGGCCGCTTTGGTCGGAGGAGAGCAACCCTGCAGAACGTCCGGAAGCCGAGCCTCTGGCACCTGCTGGCCTGCTTCCCCCTGGAAGGGGGCACTGAACACTCCCGGGATGGGTGACAGTGACTCCAAAAGCCGGCTCCCAGCACCTCCCCCACCTCCACAGGCTACTTCCCCTTCGATACTAATAAATGCAGCTGGCCTTGTTTAGACGCATCTGTGTGCTCACAAACCAGGGGCTGTGCTCCCTCATGGGATGTTAGCTGAGAGGACATCAGAGCCCAAAGGCCCCGTGACTTGCTGAGGGCACCCAACACCAAGCAGGGGAGCTAGGGCCACCCTTGGCCACCTCAGCCCATAGCAGCCTCCACCCAAGCCACCCTGAATGGCTGCCCAGGCTGTGCACTGCACAAGGCCAGGGGCACTGCATACCCTGTGGGAGATCCCCAGAGGAGCACAGCACAGCCCCTCAGCCTGCCCTGGCCCTCTATGAGCCCCAGGCCCTTTACCAACCTGGTTGGTACTCAGAAGAGAACAAGACCATGGGTTGCTTGTTTCCAGTCCACAGCAGAACAACTCAAGCCTAGATTGCTTCCACTTCCCACTGGTCCCTTTCTGCCTGTTTCAAATCACCCAGGATGCCTTTCTGTGCTGCCTCAGATGCATGCTAACTGGGCCACTATCTGGGCGACTGAGCCCAGCCCTTAGCTTCTCTGGGCCTCAGTCTCCACATCTGAACACCCAGGACAGTAGCACCCACTTCATTCCTAAGCTCAGGGAATGCAGCCTCAATACAGTGTGGGTGTCCGATGGGTATAAACCCCCTTCCCCACGACCCACGCGCCATCCAGCGTGGGGGCAGGAGGCCTGCGCCTGCTTGCAGGGTCTCCTGAGCCCTCCCTGACAGCAGGACTCCATCTATCTGTCCACACTCAGAGGACCCAGTGGCCTGGCCCCAGGACAGACCTGCAGGACTCCAAACCCAAGCCTTCTCTGCTGCAGCTGCAGGGAGGCAGGGACCCCCGGCTGTCCACCAGCCAGCAGAGGACGCAGGGCTGGCCCGGGCCACCCACCTGGGGCTGTGCCAGGGGCTGCCTGCCTCCCCAGACACAGGGAGGCCACAGGGAGGGCAGAGCTGGTTTCCTCCTGGGGGGAGACCGTCACGTCGGCACCTCCCCAGGAGAGAGCTGCAGGCCAGAAAAGCGGTTTGGCAGTTTCCTCAGAAAGCTAGACATAGACTTACCATGCGGCCCATGGCCCCCTGGCTGCCCACCCAGGAGGACTGAGGACAGGTGTTCCAACAAATATTACTGCAGGAATGTTTAAGCAGCACAATTCACAGTAGTCAAAAAGGTGGAAACAACGCAAATACCTACCAACAGATGAAGGGATCAGCAAAAGCAGTTTATGCATCAATGGGCTGTTCAGCCGTAAAAGGCATGAAGGTCTGCCCAGTGCCGTAATAGGGGTGAACTTGAAAACATGCTGAAGGAAGAAACCAGACACAAAAGTCTACATATTGAAGGATTCCATTTTATGAAATGTCCAGAAGAGGGAGACCCACAGAGACAGAGAGGTCAGTGGTTGGGGGATTGGGGGGGGACCCAGGTCCAAACTCCGGCTAAGAACGCAGGACGGGGGCTCACGGGCCGCCTCCCCCTGGGCCGGCAGTGCCGTCTAGGAGCTTGCTGCCTGCCCACCACCCTGCTCCATGCCCACTGCCCCTGCTATCCCGAGGCAGGTTTGGGGATGGGACTGAGATGAGGTGGGTGGGTGCTGGCACAGAGAGAGCCTTCCACACACAGCCTTTTCCTTAGATCTCTGGGGAAAGAAGTTTTTCTCTTGTTGGACACACATTTTTGAGTGCCTGTCATGTGTCAGACACTGTACCAGGCACCGAGCAACCCACAAAAGGACAGACACAACCTCTGCCCTCAGGGCAGTTGTCCACCTTGCCTGAATATTAGTCCACCTGGGAGGGCTCAGCTCTCCCAGGGCCCAAAGCACCTGTGGACAATTTACTCAGCGCCCCTGGTGGGCGGGGTGTGGCGTGCTGCTTAAGGAAGCTCCCAGGTGATTCCACTGCAGTGTTGCGCCCCACCTGCCAGTGGGGGAGGAACCCGGGTTCCGGGAGACCCACACGTCATCCATCCTGGGGGCCATGAAAGATGCCTGGTGGAACTGAGTTCGAGTGTACGTTTTAATAAATTCTAGCACGACACTAGCTGACCAGACAGGAGGGAAATGGGCATAGATGTACCGCATCCTACAAATACCATCCTTATTTCCCCTCATCAATCAACGCGTCCGAAATGCCCGAGAGCCTCTGTTTAGCAGAGCTAATATTCAGGACCTGCGACCGGAGCCGCCGTTTGCCTTACATGAGGCTAGAGCGCCATCTAGTGTCCGTGGGCAACCTCGGCCTCCCACCACCTCCATGGCAGGTCCCACCGGGTGGGGTGCAGGGCTCACCCCTGCTGCAGCCCTGGGGGAACAAAGAGCACGAAGACAGAGCCGGCTCGCCAGGGACTCACACTTCAGGCATTTCATCTATGAGGGAAGAACCACAGAAAAACCTGCAGCTTTACTCCAGATAGAAGCGGCACCGCACACAGCTAGGTTGTCAGGTTTTCCCAATGAAATTGTCTAAGAAAACAGTGTGAGTGAAAACCAAGGTGGTGGTTTTCTCAGAAACTATTGTTTCCTTTAGGTTTTCTCGACAATCATGGCATAACAAGCCTTGTCATATCTGCTTTTGTGCAGAAAGACCACAGGAGACATTTTTTTTAGAATTAGCATCAGGAAAGTCTGGATACGAGGGACACCTGGGCTGTCTCCAGCTCCCCCGGCAGAACCGATCGCCAGGCACCCAGCTCCCTGCGATTATGATGAGCCTGAGGCCCAGGCCTGATGGACAAGGGAGGGACCAGTGGGCAGACGCGGACGGGGCCGCGCCTTCTGCAGGAGCCAGGCAGAGGCGACCTCGCTGAGACTACGCCCGGCCTCCACGCCCTGGTCACCCCTGCAGGGGCTCCTCACCGCCTGAACCCCACCTGAGGCAGGGCTGGGGGGCCGGGGTGAGTTCCCATGCAGGGTGGATGAGACCAGGGAGTGAGCCTGCGGGGGCGGACTGAGGGAGCCTCCGGAAATGCGAGTCACGCTCACGGGAGTGCGGGGTCACCAGGGCCAGGCCTCCACATTTGTCCTTCTGCAGATCCTCCCAGATCGAACGAAGCTGCACTTTGTAATTATAAGGATACCCATGCCTTATTATGCAAATCTCCAGACCTGCTTCTCACAGTCGCAGAGGCCAGGGCGGAAATCAGCACCACCCCCACACCCATAGCCACCTGTGACTCACCTTGCCACTGGGGCTTACTTCCCAGAATGGCCGTCTGGGCCTCTATGAGTGTAGGCAGCGGTAACCAGGCGAACACATGACCTGCCACCACCAGAGAGATGCCTGTGCCCGCTTTCGTCCCAGCCTGCCTCATGGGTCCACCTTACTTACTCACCGTGAGCCCTCCTAGAAAATGTGCCATAACAAACGCCCGCCTTGCAAACTCACCAGAGACCAGATCATAGACAGTGGTTTAATTTGGGGAGAAAAATGCATAAACAGTACAATTTACACCAAAGTTAAAAGTCTGAGTCCTGGGCTGGTGCCCCGCCCACCCCAGCTGCCCTCTGGGCAGTGCCTCCGTCTGTGCCTGCTCCCTCCTCTCCCACCCAGAACCTGGGGAGCCCAGCACGCAGGTGCACCCCGCCGCCCAGGAGGAAGGTTTGTTCCTATCCGTGTCTTCCTCCGGCCCGTTTCACTTCTCTGCACCTGGTGGGGAGACAGCTGAGGGACAGCACCCCAGGCGCCCGGGCATCAGCTGGTGTCTGCGGAGGCGAGGCTGACACCGTCTGGGGGCCATTCCACACGGGCTGCTCTCCTGTAAATCCCGGCAGGCTTTGGGGGATGCTTATCCTAGGACACACCAGATTCCGGAAGCGCCAGGAGCCAGCGTCAATGGTGAGTCAGAGTCAGTACCACCAGCAGCGCGGAGTGACAGGGGCACCCTCAGGGCCAGTGGGGCCCTCCTGGAGGGCACTCTCTAGCGGGCGCAGCACCTGGCCTGCTGGGCCGGCCCCTCCTTCAGAGCCAGCCGCTCATCTCCCTTCGGCGCCGGGCCGCCCTGTGCCTCCTCTCTCCGCAGCAGCTCCCGGGCTGTGAGGGACAGGAGCAGGTCATCTGGGGAGGGTCGACCCCGGCCTGGCCCAGCCCTGCTCTCTCAGCATGGGCTCTATCAGCAGAGCCCTAAAGCCCAGACGCCAGGGCTCCTGCCCACTGCCCAGTCCCTAGGGACATCCTGGTGGGCCCCAGGATGGGGCGAGAGGACCCCGTGAGGCAGAGCCGGGATGAGACCCCCACCCCTGGCTGGGCCCCCACTCACCCACAGTGCTGAAGACCTCGGTCACCTGGTGGTTCAGCCTGGCGGAGGCCTCCATGAACAGCAAGCACTTGCTCTCTGCAAACTCCTTCCCTTCCTGAGGGAAAATCCCATTAGTCATAGAAAGGGGAGCTCCCCAAGAACACTTAGTAGCCACCTGATGCTGAGACCCAAGACAGACAGACCCAGGCAACAGCTGCAGCCAGCGGAGAGCTGCTTCGGGGTGCTCCTGGCTGAGGGACATGCTGTGTGCCCAGCAGGGCCGTCCCACTATCACTGTTCTGCAGCTGCCCCAGCACCCTCACCCTAAATGCAGTGGGAGGCGGGTGCTGCTGCAACCAGAGCAGCTGGGGGGCTGCACATCTGCCCCCAGGAGGGTCCCCCTTACCCAGATGTGAGAAGGAAAAATCTGCAGCAGCCCCCCAACTGGTTCCTGAGTGGAAAGGGAGCCTGGCCGAAGGACCCACTCTCTCAGATGGACAGCCAACTTTCGAAGGGCCTGAGCAGCACAGCTGACCGGCATAGCTGACCAGCAGGACCAGTCACAGGGTGGCAGCTTTGGGTGGGAGGGGAGGGCTGAGCTGCTCTGCAGGGGGGAGACCCATTGGAAACAGGGGAGGGCAGGGCCAAGAGGACCCTGAGGCTGGAGGGAGGCTGGGGCCTCAGGAAGAAAATACAGTGGAGGCAGTGGCCAGGTGATTCACACACAGAAGCTTCTAGAAGCGCCTAATTTTCTTAAGTTGTTTGCTGGGCTGGGCTA